CTCTGCGAGGAAAACAGACGAGGGGATCCTCGCCCATCTCGGTGTCTTCGACACCAGGGGCGGTGTGGTCAACGGCAGGCTTTCCCTGATATGTTCCCACCGAGTACGTGCCGATTTTCTCCTGGGGCTTGCCCATTTTGTCACAGTACTCGTCAAGTTTTAGGAGTTTAGGGTTTAGGGGTTTGGGGGTTTGGGGGTTTGGGGGTTTGGGAGTTCTAGGGTTCAGGGATTCGGGGTTCAAGTTTAAGTTGGGGGTGTTAGGGCTTGGAAGGTTAAGCGCTTCGGGCTTTAAGGGTTTGGTTTGGGGGGTGCGAAGGTCTGTGGTTTCGAGTTCCTGTTCGGAGCATCATTTGTCTCGTGGAAAGTGCGCTGGTGTATTTTCTTGCCTTTGTATACTCCGTATGTTCGAAGAATCCTTGGTGCACAGTTGCCTCACAAACATCAGCGCACACAGATCTTAGTCTTGGCCCTTCTCTCCTTCTGCTAGATCTTGTCGTTCTCTCCGCCCGTGCCAGTCTTACATTTATTGCCGCAACGAATCATACATGACCACCACTGTCATCAGAATGCTCCGCGCCGTCCTCAGCACCAACACGCATGAGTGCTGCCAGCAGGACCATTGGTACCATTATTAGAGGCCTAGCCTACTGTATTCCTGTTTCTGTTTACCGAGAGCCTTGAAAGGGCTTTTCTTGGCATAGACGTGATGCACAGATATGATGGCCTTGATTATGTGATGCAGCCCTGTTGTACACAAACCTTCATGTTTAAGGTGGGGGGGCAGGAACAGCATCCGCCGATGCTGCAAATGGCAACCTTCTCGGTATTAACAGGGGAATGTTTGTCATTCTATGGTGGTTTCGGTGCGATTCCAATGCGCGGCTGCCCGCCCCTCAATGCGGACGTGCGGGGTTGCAAGATAGTGAACGGACATGGAGAGGATGCTCATACTGGTAATGATGCCGCTGACATCGATTGCTTCCTTCTCTGATAGCCTTAGGGAGCCTTAGTGATCCCTCGGCATTTCGCTACGCACTTCCCAGCCTTGTCGAGGAAGCTATCCAGCTGCAGCACAGCCAACCATGCCCCCAAACACGGGATGCCGGATGTGTCTTCGGGTCTGACCTGTGAGGGTTGGAGTTTCGGGTGTTTTGCGTCTCGGCGTTCCGAAGTGGTGGACTTACGGCTTTTGGGTTTTCACGATTTTTGGGTTTGCAGATTGACGCCGGGTCTTCGGCTCTGACTCTCGCTTCGAATCGCCATGCTCGGCTGCGCCTCTTCCGGAACCCACGTTGTAGCCCTCGTGGAGCAGGTCTCGGCTTCCGCCAGCCTGACAGAGCTAACGTAGGAGCCTTACTTAGAATAGGGTTATGGGCTTAAGGAAATACAGGCTATTATTCAAACCCCTATCTGGCCCCTATTTTAGGCTTCAGGGCTCCACTCTGGAAATCCCCTTCACATCCACTTCCGCTGCGAAGTCGTGCAAGATTAAAGTCGAGCGTCTGGGATGCTTGCCGCGAAAATCCACCGTCGGAAGGGCCAGAGTCCTCCAAGTGCAGCAGGCAACAACATGCAATCGACAGAGGGTACCTACACATCTTTCTGCTAACCTGTTTATTCAAACATGAACTTTCAATCCACTGCACATCGAAGCTTCGGAAGCAGTTTGGACTCCAAAGGCTGAGCCTCAGGGCAGGTAACTGCTCGACATGCGGCCGTCCTCTGCAAGCTGATAGCGCACGCCATAGCAGTGCTTATCACAGCAGAAGCAACGAAAGCCGATGCCTGCGAGCATTCAACTGCACGGAGAAGGAAAGCGTTGCCAGGGCCCCAGGCGCGCCTCCCTTTAGTGGCTGAGTCAACGGGTAGCCATCCCAGCCCTTGGCACAGGAGAAGCAGACGGAGATGTCTGCAGCGCGGGGCAGCTGCATGCGGCGCGTCGACCCATCTCAGGGCCATGTCAGCCACGCAAGTGCTTGGGAACAGATGTCGAAACACTGGGCTGAACTGCGCACCCGGACTAGACCATGTTGGCTTTGGGAGTTCTGCTACATCTAACCGCTCATCCAACAAGGTTAGATATGCTTCCTAAGCTCTGACAGCAAGTGCTCGGAGCTGCAACGGCCATTCTGCTTGGCCCGGCTTATGTGGAGAAAGTAGCTGCCTCCTGCACAACATGCCGGTAGCTGTCACTCGCATTTAGTGACTGAGCCGACAGTTTGGAAACTGCTCAGCAGAGCCTGTCCAAAGACCTAAGACTCACTGGTAGCCGGTGGCATAGCTTCAGCTTGCAGACATCGGCTTGGGATAAGAAAAGGAATGCAGGATCATGCGAGGGTCCGGCCACTCACCCGGCGATGTCCAGTCCTTGCCCTTGATCCTGCCAACCGCATCGACACAGCATCGATCTTACAAAACTTGAACCTCATGCCTGTCACCTGGCCCCTATGCCCCGTTCTGGACGAGAATCTCTCTGTCTAGCATTTCGCGCATGTCATCAAGTTCGGGCTGCACAGTATTCAACAGTTCTTCCGCAGTGACCGGGCACGAAGTGATGAAACACCAGAACGCATCTGACACTGCCCACGAAGAAACTTCCGCGAAGCCCGCCGTAAGCCGCCTCTCAGACCTCAAACCAAGAAGGTCAAGAGTGCAAAGCTTAAAGTGTAGACCTTGAGCACATTCAGGGGGAATGATTTGGGGGCTGGGAAACTCCTTCTCTTGGAAGTTGAACGTGAACATTTAATCAGTGGCCGCATGGTCCACACAAGGAATATCGCACATGCCTCAAATCTGTACGAAGCACAAGGGATCCCTTCGAGGAGACTTTCGGGCGTTCTCAACTGCAACTGTTCTACCCTAAACCTGGAGGCCAAAGTATAACGATCTTGGACATCCTCAACTGACCCAGCACTGTCCCCATGATGAGCCTGCCGGTCGGGACGACAGTGCCGCGGGCTTCGTCTCCAGCAAAAGGGAAGAGCTCCTAGGCTCTTTGTTGATACCACTACTACTGCTGCTACTAATTACTACTACTACTACTACTACTACTACTACTACTATTACTACTACTACTACTACTACTACTACTACTACTGCTACTACTACTCCTACTAGTGGCACACTACTACGATTTTAGGACAACTGCGACTACTACGACTGCTGCTATGGCTAGTTCGACGATTGCCGCAGCGAAACTGCGTACTTTCCGTGCATCTACAAAAAAGAGCACGAAAGCCGCTAATTGGTCTAAACCTGGAATTATACTTTGCGGCGCCAAGGCACCACCTTTCCAAGCTGTCCCAGCGCCATCCGACATGCATTTTCTGAGGCTTGATAGTACAAGGTCAGGATCGGCCATGTTCCGGTCTGAGCGAGGCTAGCTACGCCCCACATGCACTATCAACTGGGCTTAGGGTCAAGGCGATGAACTTTCGAATTGAGGTGGCATGTTCCTAGAAGCTGCACGCCATGCCACAGCCAAGGAAACTAAAGACACAGCTCTTCCCCTGACTCTTCGTACAGTGGAAATGCCTCGAAGTCATGGTCTGCTGTGTGGTCCTTGATACATTCGCTACACTACAGCTAAAGCTGTTTCGGAACAGACATGGCTCTGCTAGAAATCAAAATCTCTCTGTCAAGATCCCCCTATGCTGAATGGAAAGCTGCCCTCGGGATCTCTGATCTGGTTTGGGGCGTCCGGTCCAGGGGCAGGGAACCGCCAAATCATGCAAAAATCTGCCTATCTGAGATGGAAGGCCGCCCGAAAGCTACGAAGAAAATTCTTGGTTTCAACTAGATAGATAGAAATGTGGCCGCCACACTGTTGCTTTGCAGATTGCTTGCTGAACTGCTCGAACATCGGTGTCACGTGAAAAAGTGCAGCTAACACTTTGACCGAAAACACACAAGCATCGCGTCATGACAATACCCCTTATGCTTGTGACCGGCGCTTTGATTCTGCAGATGCTGCCGATCCGCTATAAGCATGAGGCGCACCCAACCAACTCGAGCGACCTCCAATGACATCATCACAAAACGGAATCAGGATTGAAATAAATCTGGCACATCACCTGTGATCACCTCATGGCCGAATCAGCTTGAGATGGCAGTCGCACAGTCACATGCGTCTGGAAAGATGTCCCTGGGTTTGACAGCAATACTTATCCCATGCACCCCAGCTTGCTTGTCCGTTTGCCTGCTCTGCTTGATGCACACTAAAAGTCTCCGGCAACTTGCAATCAGCGCTGTCCGCCGAAAGTTGCCTATTCGGGGAGGTCTGCTCTGCCAAATATTCTCCTTTCCTCTGGCAAGATGACATCAAGGTTTTTTGGCATCCAGCAGACGATGAATTCGCAACAACTTGCTGCGAGCACCTTGCCGTTCCTCTTACCATACCCATACGCTTTCAAGAGCTTAGCCACACCTCTGGAGAGACTCGCAAAGCACATACAGCGAGTTCCGATGCTGCAACCATTGAGAATGCTTTGGCGAACCGGTCTCGAGAAATGCTCATGCATTCGGAGCAAGTTTATCCAAAGAGTAACATAGGCTTCAGGGATCACCAGGGCACAAGCACAACTACATCTAGTGAACCCATATTTTGTGCGCGAGGGTTTGTAAATGTTGTTTAGCTGCTCACCTCACAGAGTTTGATGATATAGTTGTGGTTGCCTAGATAAACTGTTCGTTGTCTTGGTATCTCTCCTTCACACCCTCGCAGCACTCCTCTTCGAGGTCCGTTGTCGCATTCTGATAATGCACTATTCTGCTATCGTACTCTTGATGATTGTGAGCATTGGGGTGACTGCAAGTATGCCTCACAGAAGCTTACTACAGCTGCTGCTGCCGCGGCGGATCCTGCTGCTGCTCCTACTCCTCCACCCCACTACCACTACCGCTACTACGAGCATTACCGCGACCACTGCTACTGCCGCTGCCACTACTACTACGACGACGACTACTACGACGACTACTACAACTACCGGGCTGCATCGTCCTCGTTCTGGATATGGATGCACTGGCCAATGGATGGGTTGGCAACATGGATGCTATCATGGTTTGGGCATGAAAGAACTGGCCAATGGATGGGTTGGTAGCATGAACGCTATCATGGTTTGACAATGTGGGCACCTGAGCGGCAGACCAAGTGCCTCAAACGGGGCCGATCGGCGATCAACCCTACTACCAGTGCCACTGCTGCTGCCACTGCTGCTGCTGCTGCTGCCGCTGCTGCGACTACTACTACTACTACTACTACTACTACTACCACTACCACCAGTACTACTGCTACTGCTACTGCTACTGCTACTGCTACTGCTACTGCTACTGCTACTGCTACTGCTACTGCTACTGCTACTGCTACTACTAATAATAGTAGTAGTAAGACTACCACCCAGACCATGATCCTGACAACTGCTGGGCTAGATATGATGTGGCCAATTTCGGTTGACCGCCGTGTTCGCAAATGTCCGGCTTTGCCTGGTACCCTAGCCGCTCGTATTTACTGTAAATTTCGTTCAAGGTGCCCCTGCAGGGCAGGCTCGTTGCTGGAGGCATGCGCCTCGCACAGTGCCGGGAGGCAAGACATTAGTCTTTAGGCAATGCGGAAATGAAAGCCAATATCACGAACTTGCGATTCGGCCCAGCAGAAACTTCACTATGCCACGTTGGCTCAGACGAACAACACTGAATGTGCGCGAGTCAATGTGGAAGTGTCGCCATGCAACACCTGTGATTGCACAAGCACACGAAACCTTGAGCGCTACGCCGGAGCAGCATGTGATAAGGCCAGCATGGTCAACCCTCCATCCTTTCATTTCCACACAACATGATCCACTTTGGAATCCAGCTCGCAAAACTCCAGCACCAGGCGTCAGGTTAGTCAGCACGGACTGCTTGCCTTACCTGAGAAACAAAGAACGGCACCAACGGTCACGACTCATGACAATAAACATGTTTTTTCATGAAAAGACAATAAGGAGGCACGGACAAGGATGCAACAAACCACACGGCCCAAAAGAAGCAAAAACAGCCAGGATGGCATGCAGATCGCTTCCTCAACTTCAGGCGAAAAGTCAGGGCCCTACGTCTAGTAGTAACAACAATAGCAAGGACAGCACCAACCGTCGTAATAAAGACAAAAGCACTATCAGAGTCATTATAATGACAGAAAACTAACAGTAGTCATAATCGTAGCAAAAGCTCAAGGAGTACGGTAATTGCAATCTTACTAGTAATGAGGGGAAAGTCCGGATGCCCGTGTGCCAGGAGCATCTGGCACAGCTGCAAATTGAAGAAAGCTAGCTACGGAAGCCCTGGAAAGAGCAGAGCTTGCAGAAAGATCTCTTAGGGTCTAGGGTTCGGGGTTTGGGGTTTACGGTTTTTGGGTAAGACGGTGAAGGGTTGTGGGGTTCTGGGTGATCTTTCAGGTTTAGAGCTTTTTGACATTTAGGGTTAAGACGGTTCTGGGTTTTGAGTGTTTAGGGTTTACCGTGCAGTTCCTGCTTTGTCTTACCTCATAGGATCCTAAACATAATGCTGGTTAAAAACAAAACAACGAACTACAACGGAGATAAGCAATACACCCGTATGTACCATGATAATATACCGAAACATACCATAGTATGCCGACATATACCATACTTTAACCGCAATATACCACACCAGATGGAAACTATAGGTCGTGTAACCGGAGTCAGGAATCTTCCCAGGGCATGTGAGACTCCGACTGTCGAAACCTATCAAAATGCATGCCAGCCGGAGCTCAGCAAGAAACCTGCGGCGAGGCCAGGGAACTCCAAATCCTTGAATTTCACTGAAGTAGAACCCGATGTGGATTGCAGCAATTTGAAGTCTCCGGCAGAAGCGATGCAAACATCTGCATGTTAAAGCATTTCAAGAGATTTCCCTTCGGAATTGCATATCTCGAATCAAGACTTTTGACTTGTGGGGCTCTTGGCTTTGGACTTTGGGCTCGGGAATATGGGGCTTTGACACCTGAATCTAACCCCCACAAATCCACAAGCCAACTCCCAATCCTGCGCCCCCGCCCAGAAACCCTAGCCCCTAAACCCCAAACCCTAAACCTGAAGCCTGAAGCCTTTACTAAACCCTAACCCTAACCCCAAACCCCAGACGCCAAATCCTTAACCCTTTACTAAACCCTGACTCTAACCACAAACCTAAACCCTAAGACCAAAACCATGGAACCCTAAACCCTAACCCCTAAGCCGCCCAAAGCCTAATATAGGGGCCTTAAGAATTAGAATAGGGCTTTGGGGCCCATTCTACTATAACTACAAGAAGGAACCCCCCAAAAATAGTATGGGTGCTTAGTTCGGCCCCTACAAAAAAGCCAAGCAAGGCCCGGGGGGCCTTCCTCCGCCGAGACTTCAGGGCCTCCGACATGCTCCTGAAGGATTCGGGAGGGACTCTTCGGGCTTGGGGGCTTTAGGGTTTAGAGGATTAGGGTTTAGGGTTTGGGGTTTGGGGCGTTGGGGTTTAGGGCGTTGGGGTTTAGGGTTTGGGGTTTAGGGTTTGGGGCGTTGGGGTTTGGGGTATAGGGTTTAGGGTTTGGGGCGTTGGGGTGGGTTTAAGGTTGTAGGGGTTTAGGAGTTTAGGGTTCAGGAGTTTAGAGTTTAGGAGGTTAGGGCTTAGGGTTTAGGAGTTGGTGGGGGTAACTTGGGCTTAGAGTTTAGAGTGTCCCCCAACATAGTGTCTCACAGGGCTTGAGGCTTTAGCGTTCGGGTTCAAGGCTTGAGGTCTTTACACTTCCAGGGTCCTACTTGCGAAACATGCTCTGAAACTTGTGGAACAAGCCTGCCGAGGCATTGACTCATTTGCCAGCCCGCAGCCGGGAATTGCCCCAAAGAAGCTCCTCCTAAAGCGAGCACCCCTCTTAAGTGCTCCTGAGAAACCTGCAAGAAACATCATCGGAGTTTGAATGATCGCTCCGAAGAAGAGAACAAACTAAAGATTCCCACCAACCCCCTGAAATAGTCCTATGCCCGGTGCCAACGGGTGAGGCTCCAAAGCCACCAAAACAAAAGACCTACCTTTGCAAACACTTTTGCAGCAGACTCCGTCCTCCCCATGCAAAAACCTCACGAAACCACCGCCAAACCCGAATCCCTACAACCCACACCTCTACAGTAAACCCTAAACCCTGGACCCTAAGCCTGGAGCTTTGGCCCGAAGCTTCCACACCTTGAAGCGATCAAATCACCCAAAAGACAAGAACCTACAAAAGATAACAGACCTACAACACCCAACAGTTCACAAGAAAAGAACACAAGAAAAAACAGATAAAGCAAGAAAGCAGATTGGACATCCGAAGACCAAAAAATAAATAAATAAACTTCCTGCGCCTCGGAGCCTCCAGGAGGGCCGGTGGAAGGTCCTCGATCAGCGAGGCGCTCCTCGAGAAGTGGATTAAGGCCCGGAAGAAGAGGTTTAGGGTTTCGGGTGTGTGGAAGAAAAGGTTCAGGTTTTTGGCTTTGTCGAAGAATAGGTTTAGGGTCCTGGGCTTGTGGAACAAAGGTTTAGGGTCATGGGCTTGTGGAAGAAAAGGTTTAGGGTCTTGGGCTTGCGGAAAAAATTTAGGATTTTGGTTTTGGTGTGTTGTTTTAGTGGTTTGGAGTTTCGCACGTGGGCTTAGGGATCAATGGGGGGCCTGGAGAAGCTAGCAATACAAGGGTCTTACGAACTGGAACCGTGCTTTTTTAGGTTGCAATACCGAGGCCTGAATCATTAGAACAAGATTAAACTTTTGTAGTAAAAAAGTATGACAATTCGAATCTAACTATGTTTTTACAACTGTATTGCTATAGCTATATGATTGGTGACTAGAAACTCTACTAATACTTAAGTCTATTAGTATAACTATATTAACTCTATTAATATAAGTATATAGGGACCATAAAAGGGGTTGTCAGGGGTTGGTTTAAGGGGTCTGCAAATTTGGGATTCAAGGCTCAAAATCTGGTAAGTTCAAGCGCTTTCTGCTTAAGCTACGATAAGAGTTGCTTTAATGGTCAAATAATTAAGTGCTGTAACAGTAACACAAGAACATGCCTGTGGAGCCCCAACCGACCATCACGAAAGCTCTTGCCAAAGAGCCCCGCTACTGCATTGCTGGTTTTTGTCGCCCGGGCGTCAGGTCAGCCAGGTGAGCCCCTTAGAGCGCTTGCGGCTGGAAGCTCGGCTAGAAGTTCTTTTACGTTAAGGGCCGGGTTTCACCGAAGTTTGCGATCTGCAGTTGGGGAAGTGCACGTCTAGCTTCCAGCACAAAGCATGCCGGAGGCGGGCAGAAAAGTCTGTCCCAGCTAAAGCTTTTGTCCCGCTTGCGCGGTCCGAAAATTGCCCGACCACCGCCTCAAAAAGCCGCAGATCTGAACAGGCAATGGCGAGGGAGGGCTTCCAAGTGTTGGCTCGGGCTGCACCAGATCTATGTACAGGGAACTCGTGGCAGACAAACCTTGCCGACGTCCTCACGTCCTTTCAGCCAGCATGGAGCACCCTCTAATTGTTTAGTTGAGACTGAGACACTGTGCGTGGAGAACTCAGCCTATCGAGAGTCCAGCTGCCGGCGTCACTCGACGCGAAAGACTGCGGCTTTGCTTCAGACGTCATCACACCCTGAATTGGCTTGCGCATCTCGCAAGGTAGCTATAGCGACGCAAGTACCATCATGCAACCAGACAGTGGTACTGCTATGGCAACAACAATACTATTAATACCTTTATTTGTAGTGGAACTAACAACGCATCAAGGCCTTGTGCAAACCTGTTGCAGTCGAATGAAAAAGCGACGAAAGCCTTCAAACAACACGACTAATCCTCAACCCCACCATATCCATAAACTATACTATACCCCGCAACCCCTGCCTAATTCTGATGGGCCCTACATTACTTCTCGGCGCCAAGCAGATCCACCACAGGCTCCGTGGGTTTTTGCTCAGCAACTGAAGCTTCGCCAGCTTCCTTCGTCTCCTCTGTCTCGCCCTCCTCCTCCTCTCAGGGGGTCTTGGAAATTTGGGGTTTAGGGTTCGGGGGTTTTTGGGATGTAGAGTTTAGGGCTTTTGCGATTCAGGGTTTAGGGGCCCCTTTCGGGCGCAGTTTTGCGGACTGTGCGATTGGCGGGGCTTGCGACCGGCTTCAGCTTGTGGATGCCTGTGGTGTAGAATTTACGGCCGACTGCTTCTAGTTCTTGATACACGCGTCGGGGTCATGGTTACGGCATGCTACTCAGCGTGCGCGACCGGCGGGCATCGTAGGGGAATGCTTGCAAGACCAGGTGCCTTCTCGGCTTCGTTCTTGCTCCAGAATTTGTCCATGCCCAGGGGCACCAAGATCGGATCCAGCAGACATGGCGTTTTGCCCCCACTGAGGGCCTGCCAGGCGCTTCCTAAAAAGTTCCTTTCTCGTGACCGCACCTAGAGGGAACTCGGTCCATGGTACTGAGAAACCTAGAGCAGTGAGCACATGAGCACATGCCATGCCAGGGAAGCTTCACAAGCTGCCTTCACGACGACTCAGGCCATGCCGATGCTTGTACTGGGAAGAGCGGCTGCACTTCTACGCGTGTCGAGCGCAGCTGCAGAGCGGCTTTGTATCTCACTGAGCCAAGATTTCCCAATACGATGACAGACGAGTGAGATCCCAAGAATCCATGGTGGGTAGAGAGCACGAGTCGAAGAAGCAACAAAATGGCAAGTAACCAAAAATGGTTCTTCTCCCCGCAACATATCTTCATGTGAGCTCATGCATCGGTCCGAACCTTTCTTCAAAGCCCCCCTCCGCCCTCTGATAGCTCCCATGTCCTCGCCAGCTTGCACTGAGAGCTCGCGACCTCGCACAGGGAGCTGAACTTGCATAATGGCTTTGACCATGTAGGCAATTGCACTGCCACGATGTAGATGGAAAGGATGATGCTGACCACCGGCAGCTAGCAGCGATGGCGATGATGATGGTGAAGGTATCGTGGCGTCGACGATGAGGCTGGTTGCGATGATGATGCGGTGGTGGTGCTGGTGGTGCTGATGATGCGGGTGCTGCTGGTGCCAGCAGCTGGCGCAGCTGCACTGCTGGCTGTGGTGGTGGTGCCGGTGATGCTGGTGGTGCTGGTGGTGCTGGCGGTGCCGGTGCTGCTGGTGCTGCTGGTGCTGCTGGTGCTGCTGGTGCTGCTGGTGCTGCTGGTGCTGCTGGTGCTGCTGGTGCTGCTGGTGCTGCTGGTGGTGCTGGTGGTGCAGGTGGTGCTGGTGGTGCTGGTGGTGCTGGTGGTGCCGGTGGGTGCTGGTGGGTGCTGCGCTATTCTGGTAGCAGCAGGACAACGACAAGAAAAACAACAACGACGACCATATAGAGGCATCCTGAAGCAGTTAAACAGTTTAACTGCTTGATTTGGCAAGAAAACTCAAACCCTCGAACATCCTCCTACAACGTTAAGAAACCTCATCAAACCATTCGAACCATTTGCAACAACCTTGTAAAACCCTTGTTCCGATGCCTTGGCAGCATCCTCGAAGCGCTTCGCGGCCTGTGATATACGGGTACAGAGGTCCGAGGACTGAAGGGGTTTAGGGTTTAGGGTTGAGGTCCAGGTTTGCCATGCAAGTTCGCCCAGACATCCTTGATGGCGGCGGGGGGTTCGGCACATGAGTTGAAGCCCCGCCTTCCCAAGGAAAATGCAAGCCTTTATGGGGGCTCGGGTAGCCACCACCCCCAGCTGCCTCAACTCTGCCTGCCAATCCCATGGGCCTTGATTCTGGTCCAGCAAGCCTCAAGAAAAGATGGCGCTAAAGTGGAGGTATCCAAACCTCGATTATGAGCCCACGGCCTAAATTCTAGTCACCCGGGCCTTGATAGTCTGCGTGTTTTGGCGTCTGAATGATAGACTTAGTCGCCCTAGGAAGCTTCATTTCGGTCCGCCTGGACTTCAACTCACCGAGACTGCAGTCAAACTCATGTCATCTGAAGCCTAACTCGGATGTTGAGGGCTTCCGGCTTTTGTGGCACTTGAGGAGCTGCGAGTTTCCTTGCGATCTTTGGTGACCTTGGGGAGTTGGACTAGCGAGCTAGATAGATAGACAAATAGACAGATTAGATAGGTAGATCCATAAATAGATAGACAGATAGACAGATAGACAGATAGATAGATGGATTCAGACAGACTTAAGAACACACGAATATGCATACAAATCGTTGTACTTGGGCTATAGTTATAGGGTATTGTAGTCTAAAGCTACAGTAGAACACGCCGAAGAACCTATTTAATGGACAAGGCCCCCTTGCTAAACCACTCTCACACCCCAAGCAGGAGTTACAAAACCCTTGAAGGAACCACTCATGCATAAACCCTTCAAAGGAATGTTTCCACTTTTTCCTCCTATACACCATGAAGCCCTCATTCTTGAGCACTTGCATACCCTGTTTGAAGCCCCTGGATATTCTATTGAAGCTTCAACAAAACCTTTCTAAAGGCCCCTGTAGTATCCCCTGGGGGTCTCCCTAAACCCTAAATCCCGTCGCATCTGCGCTTGCGGGCGCGCCTCCTTCACGGCCTCCAGGGCTTCGGGGCGGCTCAGGAAGTCGGCGTTCGCGAGAGGCCTTGGATTTCAGGTCTTGTTCTTGCAATGTTATGGCATGTTCTAGAATATTATAGTACATTAAGGCATATTATCGTATATTACAGTATATTCATGTATATTCAAGAATATGAAAGTATATTGTTGTATGTTGTAGTATATTATGGTGCATTATGGTATATGAAAGTATGCTATAGTGCATTGTACTATAGTATAGCATAGCATAGCATAGCATAGTATAGGACAGTATCGTATAGTACCGTATAGCATAGTATTGTGCGGTATAGTATAGAGTATAGAGTAGTATAAGGCTTCAAGGCGAGGGTGTACTATGAGGGTTCTGGAGGGGTGTCAAAAGGCTTAAGGGGTATGGGATTTACATGGGTATCTATGGGAGTTCTAGGGTTCATGTTGGATTCTGGGAGCTTTGCGGCGTTTGTATACCAAGAGAGAGGTCTGAGGCTCAGGGCTTGAAGCTTCAGGCTCTCTGCGTAGAGCTTGGCGCTTTGGGTTGGGGGTGTAGGGTTGAGGTCTTGGGCCACAGGGTAGAGTATTACGAGGCTGAGAGCTTCGGGTCTCATCTGTGGAGGGCTGCAGGAGATGGTTTCATGAGTCTCAAGGTTCTGCGTCGGGGGTAGGTTTTGAACTTCTTGCTCCGGGGCCTGCTTTGCTTGCTATGTCGGGGTAGGGTCCTTCGGATTCAGGTTCTCGCGCTCCGAGGAAGCGCACGCACAAAAAAGAGAACCAGAATGGGTGCATGGTGCATGGGACTTTGGACCTCAGACTTGAGGTTTACAGGCTTTCGGCCTTTTCAGCTGCAGAAAAGCCAAGTGCCTAGCTGACGGGCGATCTCGATGCTGGGTTTGCCAGGGAGCTGCGCACCTCAAGCCAATGCAAGCCGGTAGGTCTTATATTATACTCTATTATAATTGATATAGTATACTATATTACAGTATCGGGAAGCTTCACCGACCTATTGAGGCGTTCAACATGGAGCTGCCGAGGCTTGAAGTGAGTGAGTGCTGAAGGAAAGGTTCGTTCTCAGTCTCGTCATCATCATCTAGGGTTTAGGGTTTAGGGTTTAGGGGTTTAAGGTTTAGGGTTTAGGGCTTAGGGGTTTAGGGGTTTAGGGGTTTAGGGTTCAGGGTTTGGGGTTTAGGGCCGCCATTCTCATTGTCACAATGGCCCCCTCTGCCAAGATGACTCCGTCACCATGAGTCTTCATAACTGGATCCTGCCATCCTGCTGCAGAATCTGATTGCTGGCTCCACCGCTATCGCGGCATCACCGGACCCGGAAAATGTAGGGGCCTTAACTAGAATGGGGTTTTGGGGGCTCCTGATTATAATTATAGTTTAATGTACCCCCCAACCCGATTCTATTTTTTAAGTCTCCTTTCTTAGATTCCAGGATTCCAGAATGTCTATCAAGCCAAATCTTGCTCAACATGCAACTCTAGTCCTAAACCCTAAACCCTAAACCCTAACTGAAGCCTCAACCCACTCACAGAACCCAAAAAACCCCAGGCCGGCCGAAACCCCCCAACAATTACTCATAAGAAGCAATAATAGTAATAGTAGGAATAATAAGTGGAGAGCCCCAGTACCCCTCGAGTAAGGAATGTGACGTAAAATTGTGGAGGGCTTACGATGTTGATTTAAGGCATATCACTTAATTCAGAGTGTGAGGGTCTTTGGCATTTTGCATTAGAGTTGATAGTTGTCATGGTTGCTTTATTGCAGCCAGCGCACGATGACGGTAGCAAGAGTCAAACGTTAGAATTCCACAAGGCCCTATATAATCCCACCAAAACCCTATTTCACATCCGCGGTGCCTGTGCACAGAGCATCCAGATGGCGGCGGTAGTACTCTGCCAAGCGAGTGCTATACCTGCACTCAACATTGTTTCAAAGCCTCTAGCAGTTTCAAGTGCTCTTGGTTCTTCTCTGAACAACGAGACAGTTCACCTCTGGATTGCTGACAGTGTGCTTTGTTGCCACTGGCATTAGCAGAGTGAGTGAAGGAAGCAGTAACAATCATTGCTGTGCCACAGAAACACCAACATTAGCTTAAAAAGGCGGCAGCAGCAACGACAAGTTGCACCTGCAGCAGCAGCAGCAGCAGCAGCAGCAGCAGCAGCAGGTCATGAAGGCAGCAATACTGCGAATAATGCGCTGGTGTGGATTTGCGCGAATGATTTGCGCGAATGAAGAATACTAACGGTCATCCGCTAATGGTGACGATACCACTAATGAAAGTACTACAAGTACCCGGAACACAAGTGGCGCTCGCAACCATCAACCGTTGCTCCAGCGTCCCTTGTCCAGAAGACTCAGGCTAATTTTGACAGCTAAAGCTAGCAACGCCGGTGACAATACTTGTACGAGCACCAACACAGACGGTACAAATGATAAGCCTTAGCCCCAAAACCATGACTCTAAGCCCTGCAACCCTGCGCTCCAAAATCAAATCCCACAACCCTTTCCAACAAGAAAACACTTATAACAAAGCTTTAAGCCCCAAGCTCGAAAACCCCGACAACCTAAACCTAAACCCTCCAAACCCCGGACCCTTAGACCCCGAGGGCCTTGTGGCTGCGGGGAGCACTTTCACTTCCGGGTACCTACCGCTGTCACCCGTGCGCTCGGGATTCAGGGTTCCGGGATGCGGGCTCAGTCCTTCAACCTGCTTGGGTGCGGACTTCGGTGGCATCTCCGTTTTGGAGGTTTAGACTTTAAAAAGCCGCTTTAAGCTCCACACCACGTATCCTAACCACGAATCACTAAATCCCCAGATCCTAGCATCCCTGAAGCCTCGCAGGCCGACACCGAAAAGCTCTACAGCTGAAGCCTGGTGCCAACAACCCCGCGGCTCTGATTCCAGGAGTTTGGGGTGCGAGGCTTGCCCCCATGTTGAGAACCTAAATACAACACTCTGAAAAAAACAGAATCGTTAGCCAAGCCATGCCAGAATGGTTCTGTCAAGAAAAGTAACAGAATCCAGTAGTAGTCGTCGTAGCAGCAGCAGCAGCAGGAG